CTGCTCTCCCTTATTTAAACAAAATATCACTCGTTCACTAATTACTGACCACCGCGCATGCACACTACGCATGCATCCATTCCACTAGTCATCAGGTAGTGCTTCGGCGATGGAGCTTTTTTTAATGGTACTGCTGTCTCGGCTCCTTGGGTGTAGAGCATGGTACTTGCGGGGGTGGTCATTTTCTTCTCTGGACGAATGTGACCGCAGCACACCCAGGTCTGACATCACCCTAATGGTGTGTAAAATATCAGATCGCTACCAATTTACCGACGCATGCAGTTTTTAGTCGGGTATGCCAAATGTTTGAATACATCCAATCTCACTGCGCACGAGACACGAACAGCGTCAAAACCTGTACCACAACCCGACCCGCAACGGGGTCCGTGTAGCGGGTGTAGCGGCATAGATCGGATGTTCGCTGCGTCCTTTCGTAGCCTGGTGATATTCAGTCACCTCTCGTCTCTGTGTTGTCCACGGAGTAGTTCGCTAGAGGCGGGTGCGTGCGGTGGCGCCCTCCGCTCCGGGGAAGGTGCCCGCTGTGCCTCGTCCACACCCCATCCTCGTGCTGGTCCCTCCTTAGGTCCCGAGGGCTCAAATGACCGAGGGCCCGTTCGGCCGAAGGAAAGTTATTTAACGAATAATTATCTCTCCGATAGTCATCGATGAATACTCTCCATTTGCGTTCGGCTGATCTGAAAATTAGGCCCCCCCCCCCCTATTATGCTTCCAATATCGACCAAACTGTGCTGATAAATGTTGTAATGAAGCGCTGAGGTGAATTAAAATCATGATTTGTGATATCGACGCTAGATGTTTAGGCCCAGTACGGGAACGTGTGTAACTGCATGGCATACAAACATGTCAATGCAATTTAAGTTCATACGTCTGTTCACAAAGTTGCAGGTGCACACAAAAAGCAATAAATTCCAAATCACTGACACAGTGATAATTTCTATAGTACTCCCTTAAATAGCATCTGGGAGACATAATTACATGTTTAAACTCATACCTAAGTCGGCACTTATAAGCAGACGTTGGCAGATTTCCGATACTTACGCCCACCCGGCAATTCATTCCAAGCCTTACCTTAATAATCGTGATTTGGACGGTCATGAAACAGTCTCACATCACTGCGCCAAATAAGCCGTCAAAACAAAATGAGCACTTCAAATAAAAAGTAAACGCGTGGAGGGCGACAGCTGGGTTCCATTGATCACTGCCAGTACCAGCTCTCAGGTTATCCGAAATTTTACGTTTTAAATCAATCAGACATCTCTTATAACGCTGTTGCTTCGCGGACTGCCTGCCAAAGCAAAATAAACAAACAAAAAAACAGCGTGAAGTATAAGCTTTCTCCCCGATGTCGCGGGGCTTATCACCATGGCAACCGGGGTTTCACGGGGCGTAAAACTGTAGCAACACCAATTCCTCTGACAAATCACAGGCTTAGATTGAAGTCCGAAGTCGTAGCAGAAATTAACAAGAACACTTTTTTGCAATGCTCAAGGTAACGGAGCGTACCCCCCCCCCCCTCACCGTGGTCGCGACCAACGTCGTCATGACAACCACTGAGCGTGTCTTTACCGAAACGAATGAAGGAACGTTTATGATTGGCCCAGCGTGCAATGGCCCATTATTGAGGAGAGCATTGCTTGAAGTTTGAGCCAGCACGTTACATGGATCATGGAATGCCTCCATCCCCAAAGCCAAAGTGCGCCTCGAAAAGAGCCGCTGCGGTTTGCCCGTGAAATTAGCGATTTATTCAGCAGTTTTTTCAAGCTGGGTCAAAGGACGGGGAACTCGATATCACCCAAAAACTACCGGCCAACTGCAAAACTGTGAGCATCGAAATATCCCCAAGCGCAAGAGCTAACGTCCGTCAAATTCTCTCCTCTCAAGATCACCCTTCAAGGTCAAACGCCGGCTGAAAGGACGGGGAACTCACCCAATCAATCACCCCAAAATTGCCGGCCTTTTCAAATTTCTTAACATCAGAATATTTCTGACAGAAGGAAATATCGTCCTTTAAAAAGTCCTGACCTCTCAAGGTCATCCCTCAAGGTCAAACGCAGGCTCAAAGGATGGGGAACTTCATATCGCCCAAAAATTACCGACCGATTTTAAACTTACAAACATCAGAATATTCATCACCGAAAGAACAAGCGTCCGTCAAAAAACTGACCTCTCAAGGTCACCCTTCAAGGTCAAACGCGGGCTCAAAGGACGGGGAACTCAATATAACCAAAAAATTACCAATCGATTTTTAACTCACAAACATCAGAATATTCACCACAGAAAGAACTAGCGTCCGTCAAAAAGTCCTGACATCTCAAGGTCATCTTTAACGGTTAAACAAGGGCTCAAAGGACGGGGATCTCCATATCACCCAAAAATTACCGGCCGATCTTTAACCTACGAACATCAGAATATTCTGCACAGAAAGAGCTAGCGTCCTTCAAAACGTCCTGACTTCTCAAGGTCACCCTTCAAAGTCAAACACGGACCCAAAGGACGGGGAACTCAATATCACCCAAAAATTACCGGGCGATTTGAGAACTATCAGCATCAAAATATTGACAAGCGCAAGAGCTAGCGTCCTCCAAAAAGTCCTGACCTATCGATGTCACCCTTCAAGGGTAAATGCAGGCTCAAAGGACGGGGAACTCGGTATAACCCAAAATTATTGTCCGATTTGCATCTTTCAAACATCAGAATATCCAACACGGATAGACCTAGCGTCTGTGAAAAATTATTGACCTCGGAAGGTCATTTTTCAGGGTCAAATATGGGTTCAAAGGACAGGGAACTTAATATCACCCAAAAATTACCGCTCAATTTTAAACTTGCAAAGGTCAGAATGTTTCCCGCAAAAAACAACTAGCGTCCGTGAAAATTCCTGATCTTTCAAGATCACTATTCAAGGTCAAACGTGGGCTCAAAACACAGATAACTTTAAATCACCCAATAAATACCGGTCAATTTTAAACTTTCAACTGTGAGAATATGCACTTAAGAAGAAATGGCGTCCGTGAAAAAACCCTGACCTCTCAAGGTTATTCTTTAAGGTCAAACGCGGGCTCAAAGGACGGGGAACTCCATATCACCCAAAATTTACCGGCCGATTTTTAACTTGCAACTGTCAAAATATTCACCGCAGGTAGAACTGGCGTCTGTCAATAAGTATTGACATCTCAAGGTTATTCTTCATGTTCAGACGCGGCTTCAAAGGACGAGGAACTCCATAGCACGCAAAAATTACTAGCCGATTTTAAACCTGCCACTGTCAGAAGATTTCCCACAGAAAAAGCTAGCGTCCGTGAAAAAGTTCTGACCTCTCAATGTCGCTTTCTCAAGGTCATTCTTAAGGGTCAAACACCGGCTAATGGAACGCGGAACTCCATATCACCCAAACCTACCGGCCGATTTGAACTTGTAAACATAAAAAATATTCACCTTACATATTGACCTAACCTGACCTGGTGAATATTTTAATGTTTGTAAGTTCAAAAATCGGCCGATGACCTCTGGGTGATATTAAGTTTCCCGTCATTTGAGCCCGTGTTTAACCTTGAAGGGTGAACTTGAGAGGACAGGACTTTTTACGAACTCTTGTTCTTTCTGTGGTGAGTATTCTGATGTTTGTAAGTTAAGGATCGGCCGGTAATTTTTTGGTGATATGGAGTTCCCCGTCCTTTGAGCCCGCATTTGAGCTTGAAGGATGACCTTGAGAGGTCTACACTTTTTGACGGACGCTAGTTTTTTCTGTGGTGAATATTTTTATGTTTGTAGGCTAAAAATCGGCCCTCAACTTCCGAGCGATATGGAGTTCCCCGTCCTTTGAGCGCGAGTTCAACCTCAAAGAATGACCTTGAATTGTCAGGACTTTATGGCGGACGCTATTTCCTTCTGTGTTGAATATTCTGATGTTTGTAAGCTAAAATCGGCCGGTAATTTTTGGGTGATGTTGAGTTCCTCGTGCTTTGAGCCCGTGTTTGTTAGTTTTTTTCTGTGGTTTATATTTTGATGTTTGGAAGTTAAAAATCGGCCGGTAATTTCCGGGTGATATGGAGTTCTCGGTTCTCTGAGCTCGTGTTTAACCTTGAAAGGTGACCTTGAAAGGTCAGGATCCTTTAACGGACGTTAGTTTTTCTGTGGGAAATGTTCTGATCTTTGCAAGTTAAAAATTGGCCGGTACTTTTTGGGTGATACCGAGTTCCCCGTCCTTTGAGCCCGCGTTTGACATTGAAGGGTGACCTTGAGATGTCAGGGCATTTCGATGGACGCTAGCTCTTGCGCTTGTTAATATTTTGATGCTCACAGTTTTCATATCGGCCGGTCGTTTTTGGGTGATATCGAGCTCCCCGTCCTTTCACCCAGGTTTTGGCCTTGGGTTACATGATATTGCAAAATGAGGGTAATTTTTGGTGTTCTCATGCCACAATTGACCTTGCGACCGTTTTTCGGAGCAATCGGAACTCGCTGCTGAAAAAAATCGCTGAATAAATCGCTTACTTCGCGGACATCGCTGCGGTTAAAGTCATGGGGGAAAATCAAAGCTGAGGTGAAGAGTTTTGTTGAATTCGCGGGATAACGGCATCATGTTCGCAGTTGAATGAGATAATTCTTCCGCAGAGTCGGCTACTTCAAATCAAATGTCTGAGCCGCTCAGAAGGACGTCGAGAAAATTGGTGGTACGGATCGAATCATACCCGTCTGATTTACCAATAAGTGAAAGGTGCAAAGAATGTGGGATGCTCTCTTTAATGTAGCCGCAGGCTCGAGAGTCTTTTTCTGGGGGGGCGGGGCTTCCATCATCACGGGCCTTTCGTCAACCTGTGCTTCCCCTCGCCTAGCCTCTGGCTGTTTCCGTGGAGGTCACGCGTGCCGCGCATGACTGGCCCGTGCCGACGCGACGCCGTCAGCTGACTAACCCCCCCCCCCCCCCCCTCCCTGCCCGCAGGCCGGGTGTCCGGGCTCCTCCATCCGAACAGTCGGCGTCCGGTGGCTGTGGAAGGCGGGTGAGCTGCATCGATCGCGTGACGGAGCCTGCGCCAGCCGCCGTCGTCATGTCGGTGATCAAGGAGCACAGCAAAGATGCCGGCCCGCTGCAGCGGTATTTGGCAGAGCATATGACGCCACTGAATCCGCACCTCGTCAAGTTGCGCGCTGCCAGCCTGCATGACGTAGACCACGCCATGCTGAGCGCCTCCGACCAGATGAACTTTCTACAGCTGCTGCTAAAGACGCTTGGCGCCAAGAAGACACTCGACGTTGGGGTGTTCACGGGATACAGGTGACCAGATGCGTCCGGCACGCGGCTAATGCTGGTGGCCAGTGCTATGCGAACTAAGGGCGGCGAAGCAAAAGGGAGCGGGGACAAAGGAGCAGTTGTCCTGTGGGAACCAGAATAGATTTTCTCTCTGCAAATTTTTTGTTGAACATCTTTTTTAAGCTGACGGTTTTATGCCTACACACTAATCGTCGTAAAATGCGGATCACAGAGGCCTCATGACGGTCTAGGAACCCTAAATTGGGCTCCAAAAACCCTTTTCGGAATTAACAGCCCCGCTTTCTGGATCAGGAACTCTATTTTGTGTTAAGGAGGCATTTGCTAGTTCGGGAAGCCCCTGTTCTGAACTAGGGGTCTCTTGCGGTCAATGAGTATACTTTATAATGAGGATTCTAGATGTTGGAAGGCCCTTTTCTGGACCACGATCCACATTCTAAGCCAGGAGACCCTCTCTCGTATGTCCGAAGGCGGCTACACCCGATCCGGATGACCTATTTTGGGATAATGAAGATGCGGGTCGGATTTTGAGATCCCCTCTGCAAATCAAAAGGATGCTGTTTTGGAGTAGGAGGCTTTTGTACGCTTCAGAAGGCCCTTTTATTGCATAGACGGCCCTGTATTGAGATGGGAGGCCCTTCGCTTGATCGGGAATCAGGTTAAGCAAAGAGCCTGAATCCCTGATTTTAATCAAGAGGTCTCAGTTCGGGATCGGTTTGCTGTCGACGTTTACGACCCATGTTATTTTTTTTTAATTGTCAAGGGAACGCGCTTCCCTCTTGAAAGACACTATCCAGGAGAACCTTTCGAGAGAAGATCCAACTTTGCTCAGCGAGCCTCGTGGTAAAGTTCGCCGCCGCCAACCGAAAATCCTGTCTGGTAGGCTAAGCTCCCGGCCTCGGGGATCCAGTTCATGCAGCCCACTCCACCTCACTGCGATCGAGCCTGCCTGTTACAAGTGATTCCGTGAAGGCAGGCTGCATGTAGAAGTGCAGCGTGTTCTGCCGACTTTCATGACCTAATCAAACAACTTGTCGTGCCTTGGCCCGTAAAAGCAGCGGCTGGAGCATTGCCTCAATCCCTTATAGATGTCCAAACTCTCAAGTTTTCCTCGGCGTCCAGTTTGCACTATCTCATATGCCCGTGAGGTTCACGATTTATCGAGTGATTTATTTGGCGCCGTGTTCCGGTTTCGATGGAAATGCGTGAGATGGTAGCTGCTCAATAATGGCACGATAGCACCGAATATGACGTTTATTTTTCAATATTACATGAAGTCAAATTCTAAGGTCAAGTGACTCCACATCACTCCAAAGTTAAGAGCCAATCTCAGATTTTTAAATTCCAGAATAATTTCCAACACACCAACTGGCGTCCGTCAATTGTGTTGACTTCTCAAGGTCACCCTGTTAGGTGGAATTAAGATTAAACGGCGTGGAACTTCACATCACCAGAGGATTACCGCCGGATTCCGGATTTTTAAGCACCAGAGCATTTACAGCGCATAAACTAATGTCCGTCATAAGCTTCTCAAAGTCACCCTTAAAGATCAAATGTAGGCTCAAATGACAAAAAACTGTATATCGTTCAGCTTGAACTCCATCGATGCTATCAAAAATTATCGCCTTATTGCAAATTTTTAACGATCAGAATATTCACCAGCGCACGAAATAGTGTCCCCTGAACATTCCTGATCATGCAACAGCACCTTTTAATGTCAAACGGCGTTGCAACTCCTTGCACCCAAAGTTTACCGACATCTTTTGGATCACAAGCACCAGAATCGTCTTCGGTGTGTAAGTTAGCATTCCTCAAGAATGTTGACCTCTCATGGTCACCCTTCAAGGCAAACTGTATGGTGAGATGATTGATAACTTTATATTTCCTCTAAGTTGCCGGTCATTTTGAATTTTTAGCATCGCAATCGTCTTCAGTGCATAAGCTAGCGTCCGTAAAAACGGAGCTCTCAGGGTCATCCTTGCTAAAATGCAAGGTCCAATGACAGGGAATTCCTAATTATGCAAAAGGTCCTGTATGATTTCAGATTTGCAAACATCAGAATATTTACCAGTGCAGGAAATGGCGTCCTTCAAACAGTCTTGTTCTCTCACCGTCACCTTTCAAGGTCACATAGTGGAAACTTATTAATATAATATGTACCCTAAAATACCATATAATTGCTGACTGATTTCGGATTTTCAACTATTAGGATATCCATCAGTTAATGAACTAGTGTCTGTCGAAAAATCCTCACCTCTCAACATCACCCTTCAATGTCAAATACACCCTCAAATCAGGCGAGCTTCATGCCAAAATTATTCATCGCTCTTCCTGGTTTAGGAGATGATGACGACTCTGAAGCTTAAAATCCGATACCGACCAGTAGCTTTCATGTGATATAGATGTCGCCGTCATGACATCTGGAAGAGTGATCTTGAGAAATGGGGACTTCTTGACGAACGCTAGTACATAAGCTAGGGACGATTCTGATGCTTGAAATTCGAAATCGGCCGGTAACTGTGCGGGTGGCGTGGCACTCCCGTGTATGTATCCTTTCCTGCGTAGCATCCCATGCACATATATATATATATATATATATATATATATATATATATATATATATATATATATATATGTGTGTGTGTGTGTGTGTGTGTGTGTGTGTGTGTGTGTGTGTGTGTGTGTGTGTGTGGTGTGTGTGTGTGTGTGTGTGTGTGTGTGTGTGTGTGTGTGTGTGTGTGTGTGTGTGTGTGTGTGTGTGTGTGTGTGTGTGTGTGTGTGTGTGTGTGTGTGTGTGTGTGTGTGTGTGGTGTGTGTGTGTGTGTGTGTGTGTGTGTGTGTGTGTGTGTGTGTGTGTGTGTGTGTGTGTGTGTGTGTGTGTGTGTGTGTGTGTGTGTGTGTGTGTGTGTGTGTGTGTGTGTGTGTGTGTGTGTGTGTGTGTGTGTGGTGTGTGTGTGTGTGTGTGTGTGTGTGTGTGTGTGTGTGTGTGTGTGTGTGTGTGTGTGTGTGTGTGTTTGTAAACCCTCCTAAGTGGGGACCGAAGTCCGCTACACTCACGCAAGGTGAGGACCGTTTTCAAGGTGGGGGCCGAAAATCGGTCCTCATTTTGCAAACCATTGGAAAACGCTAATTTCGTCCAGATATTGGTCTGGTATCAATCCCTTAGAGGTCCCGACATGGTAGGTTTTGTCCGCCAAGTGTATGTTTCATAGTCACGTGACTTAGGTTGACTTACACAAATCCGCCGGAGAAGTTTCTCGCCTTTCGACTGAAATGTGTGACGTCATCTTTGAATAGAGATGTGCTAATCTTGTTGTCACCTTGAACGCACCATGTAGTGTTGATTTCACAAGACAGAATTGACTGAAGTAGCTAAATGATAAACAATAGTTATTTTTATATGCCTTAAGACGTTTAATAATGACCAAACATTAACAATGATGTAGTTTGGCGGGGCACATGCGTAGTACCCATCACTACTGATTGTTATGGCAGACCTTGGCCGCGAGTTGGAATGCCGTGGAGGTGTCGCGTCGCTCGGTTGGTGTCTTGTCACGCGATCAAGGGACGTGAGATATTACTGCGTGGTGCTTAGTGGTGTTCCTGTGGGCTGGCACGATATGGTAAGTACTGATAACTGCATGATGTTCTGTACTGGAAGCTCTGTTTTTTAAGTGCATGAAGTTTCTCGTACTCGGGTGCACCGCAGTATCAGGGACAAGGGAAATTCTTCCAACTTGATGGCGGTGCGGCAGTTTTACCGTTGAAACCTCTGTAGATATGAAGGAGGAAGGGGGCAAGCATTAGGTGCGCAGCGTTATGTGGGGCAATGCAAATTCTTCCAACTTGGTGGTTGTGTGGCCGTCTTAGCGTTGCATCCCATGTAATTGTCGACGCGAAGAGGGGGGGGGGGGGGGGGGGCATTAGCGTGCTTTTCACCTCATGTTCCCATTTACCCCTCAATGGGGTGTACCATTCTCACCTTACCCGCATGCACTGAGTGGGGGCGTAGGTACATAAAGTGAGTAGGGGGGGGGGGGCTTTGGGGGGGGGGGGTGGGGGTTGCCAAAACTTGTGAAATGATGAAGTCTAACCCAAAGATCATCAACAAACCAATTTCTCTTTGAGTTTGGCGCCATTTCATTTCTTAGTTGACAGCTGTAGCTTGATTTCGGAGGGGGGGGCCTAGAACCCCCCCCCTTCCCTAACGGAATAGGAAACGTGAACCCTGATATCGAGTAGTGATGGCACGAAACCTTAAAGCCTTTCAACCAGCAGATCAACACACGAGATGTGAACAGCCATGCTTTTTGGAAACTGCAATTAATGCGTGCTTGATCACTTCAGAATGAATGCAACTTTGACCAGCATGGCCCTAAAAGCATAGTGATCTGCAGACTAATCTGCTTGTGGCCCTCCACGTCATGGGGAGCAAATAGCTTTTCCTGCCTGCTCACACCACGTCATGTCAGAATGATAGGTCAGTTAATAAAGCATCAAAACTCAACTTTTCGACCAATGAATACTTTGGACCCTTCCACAGCTGCTTGATGTAGCAGTCTTTTGTAACCTGGAGGTGCAATTCTTTTGTTTTTATTTCAGTTTCCATGAGATAACACAGAATACACTAGGTACCTGGCCCAACTCATTAATCTATTGAAAATGTGCATATTGCATATGCTTTCCACCCTCTATGTTCACAATTTCAGGCAAAACATAGTTTAGTCTACCATAATGTGTGGACTGTAGTGATTTGTGGTAGTGTTGGAAAGCAGCTAAATCAAGGGCGTAGCCTGCAAAGGAAGTAGCAAAATCAGACGAAAATATGGCCACTCTTTTAGATAAATCACAAACTAAAAGCTTAACGTGTACCTTTTGACCAATAGAGAGCAGCAGGGGGCGCAGCCAGAGGTTTCGTAAGGGGGGGGGGGCACAGGATTGACAGAGGACCCCCTGATAGTAAAATCCCCCCCCCCCCAAATCACCTCATGTGACCCATTTGTTAT